TTTCTTTCTTTCTTTTCTTTCTTTCTTTCTTTTTCCTTCAGGACCAGCTTTCTTCTACCCATCCACTGACTCAACCCAGTCAACCATTGCCCAGTCAACCATTCGTCCTTCTGCCCATCCCTTACCGGCCCCTTTGCAGCTAGCTTGTGTAAGCCTCTATTTCATGCTTGATTATCACGGTTTCCATGAGGCCCTCAGGATGGCACCAAGGAGCAGATCTTCCTACAATCCCCCAGCTCCAGAAGACGATCCTGCAGTCAGAGTGCACACATAACCCAGGCAGGGGCTACAGTAGCTAAGAGGAAGATTCAAAATTCCATCCCAAATGTGTCCACTAAGTCATCCCCTCCTTGTCTTGGGATGCTGACATGCTTCAACCTTCTCTCAAGGACAACGAAAAGCAGGTCAGACATTGCACAGCCTGAAGTCCTTAGAAAGATCTAGAAAATTCCATCTGATTGCCACACAGAAGACATCAGATGTAAGAGGAGTTTAGGGGGGCCTGGGCTGCAGGCTGAGCAAGGTTGAGAACTTTCAGGGTTCACCCAGCCAATGAGCCTTCAAAGAACTCTCTGCTGTGGGAGGGCTTTCCTTGACCTTTCCTTGACCTCTACCCTGCTCACATGTCACCTCTACAGAGAGACTCTCCCACCCATAGGCATCTGTTGTGTCTCCCTCCAGCCACAAGCATGACGGTGGGTGGATTTTTTTCTTCTCTTCCCCTGGCCATCTCTTTGACTCTCCGTGTATAAACCTTGACCCAAGAGCCTGGTACAGAGTTGGGCAGTCTGTAGTGCTTTATTAAGTATTTTAAATTTTTATTTCTGTTATTTTAGCTTATTTGTGTACATGTGCAGGGGTGTGTGTTCACATCTTTACTACCAAGTGCTAGAAGTAAAGGCATGGGCTACTGTGGCTGGCTCTTGATCCCTTTTTATTATTTTATTGTTTTTTTTGTTTTTTGGTTTTTTTTGTTTTTTTTTTTTTTGAGATAGGGTTTCCCTGTGTAACCTTGGCTGTTCTGTAACTCACTCTGTAGACCAGGCTGCCCTCAAACTCAGAAATCCACCTGCCTCTGCCTCCCAAGTGCTGGGACTAAAGGCGTGCGTCATCACTGTCTGGCTAATCATTTCATTTTTAAATTATTATTTTTCTGAGCCAGGCACTGTGGCACATGTTTTTAATCTCAGCACTTGGGAGGTAGAGGCAGACAAATCTCTGTGAGTTCAAGGCCAGCCTGCTTTACACAGTGAGTTCCAGGACAGCCAGGGCTATACAGAGAAACCCTGTCTAAGAAACAAACAAACAAACAAACAAACAAATTAACCAAAGAAACAAAACAACAAAAACTAGACACTTATTTTGTATTTTTTAATATTTATTTATTTATTTATTTATTTATTTATTTATTTATTTATTTATTGTATGTGAGTACACTGTAGCTGTCTTCAGACATACAAGAGGGCATCAGATCTCATTTCAGATGGTTGCGAGCCACCATGTGGTTGCTGGGAATTGCACTCAGGACCTCCGCAAGAGCCATGAATGCTCTTGACAGCTGAGCCATCTCTCCCAGCCCCTATTGTTTTATTTTTGTGTATAGTGTATATGTCTGAAAGCGCATGCCACACGTGTGAGGTGCTGGCTGAGGCCAGAAGAGATTATCAGATCCCTTAGAACCAGAGTCATAAGCCATTGTGAGCCACCAGCTAGGCCGGGCCTTGAACGTGGATCCTCTAGGGCAAGAGGTGCTCATAACTACTGAGCCATCTCTTTTTGAGTCAGCGTCTCTTGCACTGGAGAGCACGGGTTCAGCTCTGCTGGGTGGCAGCTGAGCTCCAGGGATCCAAGTGTCTCCACCTCCCAGGCTGGGGTTACAGGAGCGCCATCGCCAGCTTCACTCAGCTTCTTACCTGTCCTGGGAATCGAACTCAGGTCCTCGTGTCTGCACATCGAGCGCTTCATCCGCTTTCTCAGCCCTTCATCAGCTATTTCTCATATGGATCCCATGTCCCGGCAAACTCACTTCCTCCCCGAGACAGTATGGCCGACAGGGAGCCCTCAGCTCCTTCCTTACCCTCTGTGGTCTCTCCCTTTCTCTCCCCCATCAAGCTGCGGCTGTCAAATCCAAGAAGCACGGCAAGAAGAGGAAGGGCGAGAGTTTCGAGAGCTACGAGGTGGCGCATCTGCGGCTGCTGAAGCTGGCGGAGAACGGGGACCTGAACCAGCTCACGGAGGACTTCCTGGCCAAGGAGGAGAAGAATTTTGCTCGCTTCACTTACGTCACCGAGCTCAACAATGACATGGAGACCATGCACAAGAAGACCCAGCGGATCCAGGTAAGTGGCCTGCGAGGCCCGGGGCCTGTCAATCCGAAATAGCCTTCCCCAGGGTGGTCCCCTGATAGCTCTATCTGCTCTGCAGACAAAGGCCACGTGCGAATTCAAAGACCACCTTGGCAGGTACCATCAATTCTGGACTAAGAACTAGGAAGGCATTTTAAAAAGTAGTTTTATTTATATTTACAGATGTTTTGCCTGCATGTGTGTCTGTGTACTACATGCATGCAGTACCCACACAGGCCAGAAGAGGGCATCGGATCCCCGTAACTGGAATTACAGATGGTGTGAGCCGTCCTGTGGATGCTGGGAATAGCAGCCAGTGCTCTTGACCTCTGAGCTGTCACCCCAGTTCCTCCTCCTCGTCCTCTGGGACAAAATCTGTCAATGGGGTTTTGAGCTCAACAATTGAATTATGTCATCTAAGTGTGACCTCCTGTCTCCACTAGGGAGACATACTGAGGTTACGTCATGGCCAGATTTTTTTTTTAACATGGTTTCTAGGAATCAAACTAACTCTGTCTGGCTGACAGAGACAGAGTCCAAACCACTTAGCGTCGCATGCCAGTCCATTCAGAACCCGGCTGACAGCTGTCTTTGTGGCTCAGAACCAGTAATGACACCCAGCGTACCAGCTGTTGCTGTGCCACGCCCCTCCTCCAAGGATTCCCTCTGACTGTGCCCGGCCCCTCCTCCTCTGATGACGTCATGATCATTTGTTCTTGTGTGGGATGTGGAGGACAGAGTACATCCGGGGTTTTCCCTTAACTCGCCTGCCACTTTCCAGGAGTTCTGTCTGTGTCTCGCCACAGGAGGGTTGAGGTTACTGATGTGCACCACCACAGCTGACTTTGTATGGGTTGTTGGGATTCGAACTCAGGGCCTCACACTTGGACAGCAAGCCCCTCACCCACAGAGCCCCCCCCAGCCCCTCAGGAGACAAGTCTCCCTGTAGCATCAGGTTTCAGCTTTTTCTTGGGGTTCATTGTCTCAATGGTCCGTGATCCACGGGGAGGGACTTAGAGATTCTTTGGACTGACCTCGCTCCTGCCAGGACAGTTATTCTAGAGACACCAGTGCCTTCTTGCTTTGCTGCATGCTTTTTGAGACTAGGCCTTGCTCAGTAGCTCAGGCTGGCCTGGAACTCGCAGTAATCCTCCTGCCTCAGCTTGGTGGTTGCTGAGATTTCACGCATGAGTCACTAGAAAACTTCTCTGCTCAAACTAAGATTCAGGTTTTTAAGTTTTTTAGTTTTTTTGTTTTTGTTTTTTTTTCCCCTATGGTATACCCAGTGTTGCCCCTACCTCGGGACGGGGTCACAGGCCCATCTTCTCTGGTCTGTTAAGATTAATAACTGTCAACATATAAAAATCAAAGTGTTCGCCTTCAATCCCAGCACTTGGGAGGCAGAGGCAGGGGGATTTCTGAGTTCCAGGCCAGCCTGGTCTACAGAGTGAGTTCCAGGACAGCCAGAGCTACACAGAGAAACCCTGTCTCGAAAAAAAAAATCAAAGTGTTCTACACAAACCCCCAAACTCTTGTTTCTCTGGGGGACATCAAATCTAACATAAGGTGGCGATCTGTGTAGAGCACAGTGGCTCTTGAGTGCATCGCCACTGCCCCCTGGTGGCTGTCTGTGGTATGGCAGGAATGATTTTGTGGTCCAGGCTGCTCCAGGAGGGAGCACATCCCTAGTCCCTATGGGATGCTGATGCAGATGGATGTGGGGACCCCTGCGTGACCTATGACTGGACTGGAAATGTCCACACTTGATCCTTGATGGCTTGGCATAGGGTGGACTTGTCGTCTGTTGGCCTCAGTTTCCCCATCTGTACTGTGATACTGAGACCAGCACAGGAGCTTCCAGACTCGTGGTTTTGTTTGCTTTACAGCACTGTAATTGAGAGTTTGGAACCCAAGTTGGGGGGGGGATTCTGCACCCCAAACTGCAGATGTCTAGGCCTTACCTCACGCCTGCAGCTCTGCAGACAGGCTGGTAACCGGCAGTTAGCCATTTGTGTGTGAGCCACCTTCCCCCACCCCTCGAACTCATTATCAGTGGCTGACCTGTCACCTCTCAGCAAGGTTGTCCCCTCCAGCCACCTGTGCTCGAGTCTTCCATTATTTCCACCTGAAATGACACCGAAGGATGGGAAGGCCTACGTGAAAGGAACTGAGAACTGTCCAGAAAGGCTGGGTCTCCTGCCCCGCTCCAGACCTAGAACTTGGAGTAAGCCTGGTCATCTGAGAGTGTGACTCAGATTCTCGAGAGAGTTTGAGGGACCCTGGGCTGAGCTGCCAGGTTCAGTGAAGTAGCCACTGGTTATCCATGTAAATTCCTTCTACTGTAATACAAGAGAAACCCCAGCTGCCCAGTATCTGGGGCCACTGTTGCAAGTTCTCAGTGCCCACGTGTGGTCATGAGGTGGCATGGCGTGGTTAGTGCACGTAGTGTTAGCATTCTGTCAAAGTTCCACCCCACAGTCGCCTGGCAACAGCCAGGTAGGCCTGACCCACTATAAAAGGGGCTGCTTGCCCCCTCCTCACTCTCTTGTTCCTCTCTTGCCTTCTTGCTACCCCTCTGTCCTCTTGCCCCTTCCCCAATCCCTCCCCCCTCCACATGCTCATGGCCAGCCTCTATTTCTCTACTCTCTCTCTACCTTTCTCTGTCTCTACTACCCTCTCAACTCCCCTCCCCATGTCCTGAATAAACTCTATTCTGTACTATACCTTCGTGTGGTTGGTCTCTCAGGGGGAAGGGATGCCTTGGCATGGGCCCGCAGAGGCACCCCCTTCTCCCACACCTCATCACACCCCCATAGAACATATCTCCCCTCTCTTTATCTTTTTATTTTTTAATTTATTATTATTATTATTTTTTCGAGACAGGGATTCTCTGTATAGCCCTGGCTGTCCTGGAACTCACTCTGTAGACCAGGCTGGCCTCGAACTCAGAAATCCACCTGCCTCTGCCTCCCAAGTGCTGGGATTAAAGGCGTGCGCCACCACCGCCCAACTCTTTATCTTTTTATAAACACATCATATGGTGCCGTAACTTGGATCTAGAAACTCTGCAGGACGTGAAAGATTATGTTGACATCTTTTTCTAAGTGGTTCTAAACCTGTGTGGGTCATGACCCTGTTGGAAGTTGAACGACCCAAAGGTCTTTCATAGGTGTTGCCCAAGACCATCGGAAAACACAGATATTTACATTATGATCCAAAACAGTAGCAAAGTTACAGTGATGAAGTAGCAACAGAAATAATTTTATGTCGGGCAGTGGTGGCACACGCCTTTAATCCCAGCACTTGGGAGGCAGAGGCAGGCGGATTTCTGAGTTCGAGGCCAGCCTTGTCTACAGAGTGAGTTCCAGGACAGCCAGGGCTACACAGAGAAACCCTGTCTCGGAAAAAAAAAAAAAAAAGGGGGGGGGGCTGGAGAGATGATGGCTCAGTGGTTAAGAGCACTGACTGCTCTTCTAGAGGTTGTGAGTTCATTTCCCAGCAACCACATGGTGGCTCACAACCATCTGTAATGGGATCTGATGCCCTCTTCTGTTGTGTCTGAAGACAGCTACAGTGTACTCATACACATAAAAATAAATAAATAAATCTTGAAAAAAAAAGAAATAATTTTATGTTGGGGGGTCACCATAACATGGGGAGTATTAGAGGTTCATAGCATCAGGAAGGTTGAGAGCCGCCACTCTAGATAGTTCTAGATGATTCTCAGAGGATGAAGAATGAAACGCCTGAGAAGGCGGGGTCAGGTGCGTCTCCTTGATGGGTCACCCAGCATGGGCGTAGGGTTAGGTACAGTGATGAGGGCATCCCATCTTTTCATCACTGGTTCCCTTCTGTCTGAGCAGGATGACATCATCAACCTGCGGTCACAGCAGCAGATCTCCCATGAGGGCACCCGGCACATCCTGAAACAGATGGAGGTGAGCTTCGGGGGCGAGGAGGGAGGGGAGGGGGAGGGACAGGGAGCCTCCTGGACCTGTCCGTCATCTATCAGGTGGTCTGTCCTGACACAACCACAGAACCCTTGTCTCTGAGTTCTGTTTATTGTAAAGATGAGCGGAGTTCAAACCTTAACCCTGGGGCTGCAATTCTATTCCTGAAGCATCTCTGCCTCAGTTTCTCCTTTTGTCTCCCCCGGGGCCCAGCTCCACTGTTTTTCACCTGTAATAACGACCACAAGCCAACTGCCTGTCTTTCCTTTCTCCTCTCCTCTCCCTTTCTCTCTATGCTGAGACTCAAACCCAGGGCCTCCAATATGCTCGTTCTGCATACCACCGCCGAGCCACGCCCACACCCTGCGCACAGTTACTTCCTGGGCTAGGCGCTAGTCGGTGGATGCCAGGCTATGTCCGCTCCTCTGGCCCCATCTCCCTTCACCACCTTTGGGAGAAGGTGTCATACTCTTTCCATTTTTTTTTTCAGGTGAGCAAACAGGATGGCAGAGGTAAAAAAACAAAAAACAAAAAACAAAAAACAAAAAAACAAAAAAAAACACAGCTCGGTCAACCCTAGGGAGCCCAGTCGTGATTTATTTATTTATTTATTTATTTATTTATTTATTTATTTTGGACACAAGGTCTCACTTTGCAGCCCTAGTGTCTGGACTTCACTAGGTAGCCCAGGCTGGCCTCAAACTCACAGCAATCCTCCCTCCTTTGGCTCCTCCGTATTGGGTTTGAAGGCTTCTTCCTGCCCAACCCCCTCACTGACGCCCTGGGAGCCTGAGCAAGCTAGAAGCTTGTTTTTGTATAATAAGCTGAAAACCGGCCCTTCTAGGATTGGGCGAGGGGGTGTCTTTGTGATGTCAGCTACCACCCAGGCTCTCCTTGGTGTGCGGTTTCCATCCCAAGGATGCCTGGTGGTACCACGGATCCTGCCGTCACGTACACACTTCCGAAGGAGTGTGGAAGAAAGTAGGGGAGCGTGGAGAAGGCCACGCTGGCTGAGTCAGGAAGCCCCCGTCGCTTCTCGGGACACTTGGATAGTGACTCTTTATGGGGTTTGCAGCTGGTCACACTGTCACCCCAGGGCAAACAGGTTCTCTCATGACAGTATCAGGACGACTATCAGACAATGCCGGGCAAGATGTGAATGCCACCTGCCTGGCCGTGTGGGGGGCACACGTCTCTGATCCCCATCCTTAGGAGGCTGAGGCAGTTGGATCCGGAGTTCAAGGGTAGCCTGGGCTAACTCCTGTTCAGACTCATAGCTCCTTCCCCTGACCTCTTCTTTTGTTCCTTGGGGCTCATTTCCGTCCTGCATCCTGACCAGGCTGGTGGGGCCATTCTAGGCTCTACCACGGAGGGACAGCAGAGCTTAGGCCCAGGAAGAGCCGAGGGAGCTCAGAGCCAAGAGGGCCTGGACGCTGTTGTGATACAGGCTGACCTCCGCAGGTCGTCCCTAGCCTAGACCCACAGACTCTACTTGGGGCTACCTAGAATCCCAGACATCCCTGGGGTTGGGACCAGCAGTGTCCATCAGTCTCCTCTGCCTGGCTCTGTAGTTACTGTTTCTGGTCTTCACAGGGTGGTGGGGGTGGTAGCTGGGGCAGCATTGTGCATGTGCGCATGCGCGACTGCTAGTGCGCCTGCGTGTTCCTCCAAAACGCAACTACCCCAAGGTGGAGAATCCACCCAAGAAGCTCTGGGCTCTCCGATGTGTCCCACCCCGTTGAAGGATGTCTCCACCTGCCTGCTCAGAACCGTCTCCACCCCTGGCTCTGCATCGTCTCCTCTCTCCCCACAAGTCCTGAGTTCAGCTCTCAGAGTGATCACTGATTTTTGAGACAGGGTCTCATGTATCCCAGGCTGGTCCCAAACTCACTACGTAGACAAGGATGACCCTGGACTCCTGCCCCTCCCCCGGAGTGCAAGATTTACAGGCGTGCACACCACCCAAGGAACCAGCCACATCCTTAGCTGTCTCTTTTTTCTTAATCTTGTTCGATGCCGACAGGAAGCTCATTCCTTTGATGGCATACTCTCTGGGGTTGGCAAACCTGTCTGGGGTCCCCCAGTCACCGGCACCGAGAGTCCCTCAGCCTCAGGCTGGGCCTGGTGTCTGTCTGCCCCCAGGAGAAACTGAGGAAGACCACTGAGGACGCCGATGTTTTTGAGAGCAAATACAAGGAAATGAGCAAGACCCTGGAGTATCTCAAGAACTCCGTGGAGAAGCTATTTAAGAAGATCAACTGCGACGCCACCGAGATCCTGGGAAAGCTGGGCGAGACCGGGAAGATCACGGACATCAACCTTCAGCAGTACTTCGGTGAGCCCAGCTTGGGTCTACCCACCTCTTAGGCACACTTTCCTGCTTGTTATACGACCAGGTACAAGAACGCTTTCTTGGTTGGTAGTGAGCAGTGAGCACAGCTATGGTGTGGCCTGCCTGGGTTTGAATTCTGATTCTTCACTTATTAGCTGTGTGACTTTGGCCACATTCCTGACCCTCTCTGTGCTCAGGTTCTTTCACCTCTGAAATGAGGGTACTACAGAAAGCTACACCATCCGGTTATTGGGAGGGTTTTTTTTTTTTTTTTTTGAGACACGGTTTCTCTGTGTAGTCCTGGCTGTCCTGGAACTCACTCTGTAGACCAGGCTAGCCTCGAACTCTCGAACTCAGAGATCCACCTGCCTCTGCCTCCCAAGTGCTGGGAATAAAGGTGTGCGCCACCACCGCCCGGCTCCTTACACATATTCACAACCACTGTAATACATACATGTTCACACACACATACGCACACTCACAGGCACCCTCCCACAAACACTACACACAACATGTGGACACACATTCAAACACCAACAAACACTATATATACATGCCGACATCTGCATGCACACACATGAAAACACACATACACACATGTATGCACACAGTTTGTTCATACAGACACGCACATAGCATGCCTTGCTAAAGCAATAAGACAAGAAAAAGGAATAAAGACCCTGATTGAGAGGAAGGAAATGAAGTGTTCGGAGTGGGGCCTGGTGTGTCACAAATGCTTGTTAAATTGCCTTCTGCATTTCCAGGTTTAGCTTCTAGTTCAGGGTATAGAGGGGGTGTGGCCACTCAGACCATGGCAGCTTGGCATGAATTAGGTACCAGCTGTTCTTATGAGTGCATGTGTGTGCGTGTGTGCGTGTGTGTGTGTGTGTGTGTGCATGTGTGCGTGTGTGTGTGTTTTAATCCACAGGGGTTGGAGAGATGCTCAGTGGTTAAGAGTGTGTACTGCTCTTGCAGAGACCCAAGTTCGTATCCCAGCACCCATCTCAGGCATTGCAGGCAGAAGGAATAGTAGAAACAAGGGCCGGAACGTCCAGCTACTGCTGGCTTTGACGTCTAGTGGAACATTGGTTCTTGGCCTTCTCATTGTCGATATCTAGGGAACCCTTTTTGGACTGTGCTTTCCTAGAAACTGTCACTCGTGGCGCTTCGAATGCCTCAGACCTCCTGTGTGCTCCCAGGAACAGCTCTGCCAATGTGCATTAAAGAGAGAGATTTCGGTGCCGCATGATGTCAGAATTTCCCACAGCCAGCGGCCAGGAGGAGCCAGCACCCTGCATAAACTCCCATCCCTTCCTCTCTTATTATAGGGGCTGCCCCTGGCCAGCAGCTGTGACCTTGACCCCCTGACCCTGTTTTCTTCCAGCTATCATAGAAAAGAAGACAAATGACCTGCTGCTTCTAGAATCCTACCGGCGCCTGCAGGAGTTGGAGGGGACTGATTCTGATATCCCACAACCCTTTGTCAACCCCTTCTGGGGCGGCTCTGCCCTCCTCAAGCCCCCAGAGCCTTCAAGGGTTGTGCCACCTGTATTTGGGGCAGACTCCTTCAGTGACAAACTTGAAGAGGGTGAGTTCTTGCCCGCTGCCACCCAGGCAGGCCACTGGGTAGAGTCCCTTAAGGACCCTGAGTGCCTGTGGGGTCTGTGGGCCAAGCCTCAGTTTCCTTCATTGCCAGGAGTAATCACCGCACTATGGCCCCTGTTTGAACACAGATGGGAATAGGTCCTTAGGGAAAAACTGAGGGGACAGAAAGGAAGTGGGAACATGTTCATTGCAGCCCCAAACCGGAAATAAGCAAAGGACCCTACACATACACACACATTCATACACACACACACACACACAGACACTGATTACATACAAACACACTGACAGTCATACATACGCACACACACACAGACACTGATTACATACAAACACACTGGCACTCATACATACGCACATACACATTCATATACACACACACAGACACTGATTACATACAAACACACTGACACTCAT